ATATGGGGTTATCGATTCCCATGCCAGTGGGTTTAAGGTTGCCACTAGCTAGGGGTTATCGCCCGATTTTAAATCCCTCGGTTCTAGCTAACATATCGTTGGGGCATGGGGTTATCGATTCTCGTGCCGATGGGTTTGAGGTTGCCATTAGCTAGGGGTTATCGCCCGATTTTACACAATAATCGGTATGGGGTTATCGATTCCCATGCCGGTGGGTTTGAGGTTGCCACTAGCGTGATTCTCGTGCCGGTGGGTTTGAGGTTGCCACTAGCTAGCGGTTATCGCCTGGTTTTACACATTAATCAGTATGGGGTTATCGATTCCCCGTTCCGGTGGGTTTGAGGTTACCACTAGCTATTATCGCCCGGTTTTACACAATAATCAGTATGGGGTTATCGATTCCCGTGCCGGTGGGTTTGAGGTTGCCACTAGCGCGATCTGTGAAGTCATACAGAACCCGAACCGAGCAATTTTCGGTTTTACACAGTAATCGGCATGGGGTTATCGATTCCCGTGCCAACTTTAGAACCGACGATTCTACTTTAGAATCGAGCAACTGGGGTTATCGATTCCCGTGTCAACTTCAGAACCTCGACGATTCTACTCTAGAACCGGGCGATTCCCGTGCCCACTTCAGAACCGACGATTCTACTTTAGAATGGACAGTAATCGACATGGGGTTATCGATTCTCGAGCTGACTCGTCGATTGTTCTAAACTAACTTATATTCTAAAATATTCTTTATTTTAAAATTAAAATATTATTCATTGAAAAATTACATTTTTAAATAAAAAACACCAAATTTCGACACAAAATGGTCCCTAAAAGGGGAGCTCTATTGGACATTTTTACATAACTGTGGATTGCTCGCGGTGTCATTAAACCCTCGTGACCATGTTTGACAGCCCTTCACACGTGCCCCATTAAGTAAGTTGAATGGACAATATTGATCAGCGATACCACCATGCAGGCTCCCTTGTATAGATTTACTATGACCTTTAATTTGGACGGATTTGATGCGTCCTCTCACATCCAACGATGAAACGGCCCCGTTCTTTGGGAGGCTCATCTAATCTCCATATATGTGGCCCTGTGAGGCCAACACCCTATCTTTTTCCCCACCCCTTAATTTCCCCACAATAAGTATCATATATAACTTCATATCTTTCAAATCGCTATGATCTCTAGCTTCTCTAAACTCAACCATGGCTGCTACAACTTCAGCCACTGTGACTCCACAGGTAAACCCCAGAAACCCACCTCCAATTTCCTACAAAAATGATATGACAACACATAGGTGCACAAAATTGACTCAGTTTTACCGATTTCTTCCAGGTTTGTTTCCTTCAAAGAGGAAAATCTTATATCATTACATAGTTGCAGAGAAGTCACTCATTTTTATCTCTCTTTTCAGCTTTGTTCGTCAAAAAATGGGATCTTTTCACCTTCTCAAGCTTTACTCTTGAAACCCATGAAGAGCTATGGCCAAAAGAGTGGAAAAATTGTTTGTCAGGCTACTACAATTCCAGCTGACAGGGTACCAGACATGGGAAAGAGGCAGCTTTTGAATTTGCTTCTTTTGGGGTCTATCTCTCTACCAACGGCTGGAATGGTTGTTCCTTATGCTTCTTTTTTTGTTCCTCCAGGGTGAGTATTTTGTTTTCAGTTTTCCTTTCTTTTGGAACTTTGATTTACTCTTTTTGATAATTCGGACTTTTTGATGAATTTTGAAGTTGGTTTATGTTTTCTGATTAGCTTCCTTTGTTTCAGATGATTGTTCGGTTTTTCTAATGTGGTGTTTTCGCTTACCTGTTTATTACTATTGTTGCTTACTCCTTGGGAAATTCAGGTTTCCTTTTGCTTGTAGGGGTTTCCAACTAAATTTCTTGTAGGATTATTTACCCATTAAAGTAATAAATGAATAGTCTTTTGTGATCTTTCTCTTTCTTTTTGCTAGTTCAGCAAATTATATATTAAGGTGGAGACTGCCGAACTAGGACTGGTGTTTAACTCAAATTAAAAATTGCGTAAAAACTATCAACTACTTGGTTTTTTGATAAGGTGTATGGAAAGAGTTCCGGTGGATCTGAATGTGTTTCAGCTTAAAGTTTCACCTGTTTTTCTTTGGAATGCATGGGGAAATGGAAGGGAGAAGGGCCTTTTTCTGTTATTTCCTTTGGGGGGCTATACTATGCTTCTTAAGAAGTGCAGATTTCGTCGGGCATGCACATCGACATTGTGATTGGCTTCCATTACAATTTTTTGAGTTATATGCTAATCGATTTAGTAAAGCATCTTTTATGTGGATCAGAGGTTGAATTTGAAGTTTTGAAGATTGAAATACTTATACTATTGTTAAGTCTGTCAAATCCAATTCTTTTTTAACTTGAAAAATACAAATGCCTTTGTAAGCATGCCTTTTTCTCCTATTGGTTTTTCATACTCTAGATGACTCTATCCTCTAGAAAAACATGGGGGACTATGCAAATGCTTACCTTATTAGAAAGCAATTAAGAAACACAATGAATAAAATGTCTTTCTTCTTTGATCATTCAAGGCCTGCAAGTTCCCTTTTTTAATTGTTTAAAATGGAAATTGGATAGGGGGGGAGGTGGAAGTGGTGGGACAATCGCCAAGGATGCCGTAGGAAACGATGTAATTGCAGCTGAGTGGCTCAAGACTCATGGCCCTGGCGATAAAACCCTTACTCAAGGCTTAAAGGTTAGATTCAATTCTTGTTCGTTTTCCTTTTACTTTTTGTTTCCAGTGTAACATAAAAAATGAAGTTATCTGACAACTGATAGGACTCCAGCAATGTCAAAATTTATGTGACAAAATTAGTGAATGCAGAAGTGATGAATCAACAATCAAAGATGCCTCTATAGGTACATGTGTTTGTTTTGGGGCCATGGTTTGCCTGTGTGGTGGTGATGTTGTCTGCGTGGTCCATGTGAATCAGAAGTTTGCTAAGCACTTGCTGTGCATTCGAATTCATTTTCAGTTGAAAACAATCTAGAAATTGCCTTGTAGAAGACATACCTTATATAAGAAGTTTGCTTAGAGCCATGTCCGGATTTGTTTGATCTGCATACTTTGTTTAAAAACTGCCCTTTCAACCATTTGCAACAGACCTTTGAATTGTAGCTTATAGATGTCTTTTTCAACTCTATATTAACAAAAGTCATTTTAACATGTCCCCTGCAGAAATTGTAGGATAATTTAGAATGATATTGTTTGTGCTTCCAATTCAATTATTTGATTATTTCGTCGTAGACATCGAATTTCTCTCTTGTGAAATATGTAAGAAGTGGTTATAGGTATTTGATGCCTCTGGTTTTTTTATCAGTCCTCATACTTTACAGTGAAGAACATTCCATAATTCATCTAATCTTTTCTCCGTTGTATGAGATTTGCATGGTGATTTTCCTTATGGATGTGTCTCACAAGTTGGGAACTCCATGGTTCTCACACTGGGTGTTAATCCTCATTAGACAAATTTTACATCTATTGAACGTCTCTTTGTCTCAATTTTCTAGTGAAATTGATGAATGTCAGATGTGCACATTCCATGTCATACAATATGCATTTATATGTGGAACATGAACATGATATATCATAATTATCAAAATCAAATGACATCATTTATCTACTTTCCTGGCCCTAGTGAGTGTTGTACATTGTCCCAAAGAAGTTGTCTGTAAGGAAATACTCTTCACCCACTAGAACAAATTGGATACTCTTCATGTCATTGCTAGTGTGTACAACGTATCGTGTAGCCATCGTAGAATCATATATCCAGGAAGATAGGTGACATGTTCTGACTTCTTTACCTGGATCAGATGTGCAATTCCTCAATCAGAAGCCAATGCCTCCAGCTTTGATCTCTTTCTTCTTCACACCCATCTCTGGTTTCTATTTGTATATGACATCTCTGGTTTCTATTTATATATGACATGTGGTCTCCAAGCCATCATTTGCTCGTGTCTCAGGATGGACACTGATCATGCCATCCCCCTTCTTTACTTTTGTCCTTGTGTTCTTTTCAAGGATTTTCCACATCTGGAACTCAAAAAATTTTTAGTGCTGCCTCTGGCATTTTAATTGTTTGGTAATCTCTCTCTCTCTCTCTCTCTCTCTCTCTCTCCTTGTTCACGCGCATGTTAAATAGATTAAACGGATTCAAACTGAAGGCTCAATTTTGATGGTGATTTATGTAAAGTTGTAATGAGATGATGCAGGGTGATCCTACTTACTTGGTGGTGGAGCCCGACAAGACTCTCGCAACCTATGGCATCAATGCAGTTTGCACTCACCTGGGGTGTGTGGTGCCATGGAATGCAGCCGAGAACAAATTCATATGCCCCTGTCATGGCTCTCAATACAACAACCAAGGAGTGGTGGTTCGAGGCCCTGCTCCTCTGGTAAGAAGGGATCTTCTAGATAGTTTTGACTTTTTGATATGGTTTCTATGAGTCGCCCTACACTTCTATTTCAATGAGTCCTCTCTCCGAATCCATTTTAGAGAGAGATTTTGCATTTAAAATTTTAGAGAATGAAGATATCTACTATGATATGTGGGAATCTGGAAATCGTTTTCTAAATAAAAAATGAAATTTTTTGGATATAATTTTGACATGATTTATTTCAAAATTTTGTGGAATGAACATTTTCTAAGATCCATGTTGTAGATGGATGTTTACTGTGTCAGGGGAAGCTATTGTAGTAGTGCGTAGCCTGGTGCATATACTACTTTTCCTTGATCTTCTACTCAAATTTTGCAGAGAACCAAGTAGTTAGTTTTATGCAATTAACTATACCGTACATAATCCACGCCATGTTCCCTTAAAAAATGTAGTTGGGCCATGTTACTAAGGTTTGCGTTTTGTTGTGGCAGTCTCTTGCACTGGCTCATGCAGACATTGATGAGGGCAAGGTGGTGTTCGTCCCATGGGTTGAAACCGATTTTAGAACAGGTGAAGCTCCATGGTGGGCTTGAGTCCTTGAATTTGTGATAAGAGTGAGTGGATTGTATTGCTTAGATATTACAGAGAGGGGGGCAGAGAGTTGTATTGCTTAGATATTTCGGATCAAACACAAACTCAACCACGAGAAAGATCCCTGATAAAAGCTTCTTTATTCCATGCGTAAGTTACTCCTCGGTCCATGGCCGTTTTCTCAACACCCTTATATATGCAGTGACATTTTCGCACATGTTATTGTATAATTTTGGACAAATAGCATTAGAAATCTATCGCACATGTTACTAAAAAGACTTTATGATAAAGCACGGTGTATATATTTTTTTTAAATTTTTTTTATTCCTATACCGGCAAGATCATTTACAATGGCCAATTACAATTAAACCATTCTTAAAAAAAACAAAAATAAAATCGGTTCTCAATTGTTACATCTTCAAATACAATTCTTTTATTCAACAAACAAAACTAGACTGTTATTGCTTTATGGGAAAAAAAGATCAAAATGTAAATAAATATTTAAAAAAACTAAAATTGTCAGAGATTACCTCAACAGGGTTTTGTATACTTCACGTCGAGTCTCTTCCTTCTAATGGTGTTCGGGATCTGTGGTAGTTGATTTTCTCACTATGGTAAAAATTCACTTAATGGTTTAATCTTAATCAAGCCTCTTAGCTTGATTTTAAAGAGATGAGAGATATATATCAAGAGAGAGGGAGAGATCTATTAGCAAGGGGTTCACCCTTTTGTCACCCACAAAAAAAACACCACTTAGGCTTAGGCGTGCCACTCAAAGAGAAAAAGACACCCAATACAAGACGCTCAATACAACTTGGAGAGAGAGAGAAAATTAGGACGTGCCTCAAAATTAGGGAGTGCCTTCATTTGGTAATCTTTTCAGAGAGAGCTAAATTTTGGGTAGACAGAGAATATACGTACGTAATTTGTTGAAGGGAGAGACCTCTTTTTATAGATTTTGTACGTCATAGATTTAGCCTTAGGGTTAAATTTCAACCGTCGATCTAAAGAGATTTGTGGGGTGAGAGATTTGAGTCATCCATCTATTTGATCCACCATCAAGATTCAAAGGAATGAGTTAGAGTCTTATCTTCGCTTTCTTAAATCTATTCTCATCAAATAAGGAAAGCTTATATTTTAATATATCAAATCTTTAATTATTGCATCAACCAATTTTGATTCAAAGATTTAGTAAATATCTCAAATATTCAACTTTATCATGGTTATACCCAAATGATAAGCTAACAACAAGAGATGAACATATTATTCCCAAGAAGAATACGTGAATGGGCAGGGCGTGCCATTCGTGTGGGCCGCAGCTAGGGCGTGCCATCGGTATAGGCCCACCTACTCCACATGTATTTAAATTTTGGGCTCCATATTTTATGGAGGTCCCATATATTTTTTAGAAAATATTTTATTTCATATTTAGAATTTTTTAAATCTTATATTTTATTTAAAACATTGAGAATTTAATTTTTCTTAATTTATAAATCCAAATGACAAAATAAAATATCATAAGATTCACAAAAATTCAAATAAACATTTAAAAAATCAAATAAAATAAAATTAATTAAAATTAATTAATTTTAAAGGGAATCGGATCCGTTATATATAGGAAATTATCAATACATGGGAGTACTCTATATTCAACTGCGAATCACAATCCGCCTAGCTTTTTTAAATTAATCTAGTAGTTCTCATGACCCACAGTCCATTACAGAGGTTCATGATTGGACCACCAAAGTCAATCAATAGACTAGGAGACGCAATCCTAGTTTATGGATTTCAGGTTCTCCTCTAGAGACAAAAATCATGGTCCTCCAGACCATGATGCAACCATGACTCTACGGTACATAGGGTAATCTCTCACATATGTACACACTTCACCCTCATTGGCGAATCTCAAAATCGCTATCTATGTACATGTCGTGTGATGATATAATGATGAAGTTTTAGCCATGTCTCTAAAGACTATTCATCATAGGCAAGGGCTACACAGTCCCTTGGCTCTCATCTGGACATACTCCGACTTCATCAAGGGATAACTCACTAAGCCTTTTTCGATAGATTCTTATGCTCAGGTATCTTGGGTTTGTCCAAACCTTGACTGGCCTAACTCGTCGAGTCTAGTCCGAATATTAGTAAATAACATTTGCCTAGTATGATTCACAAAAAGACTATACTCCCATTAAGTTTATGTTTCATTTATTAAATATGTTTTACAAAGTCTCTCGTAAAGCCTTTAAAGGCCATATAAACCCCAACTGTTACAACATTTTTTCAATAAAATATGAATGTTTTGTACTTCAGAGATTCTTGGGTCAGCAATCCTAAATTTGAAATGTTGTTTTTGTAGTAACTCGGAGTTTTGTTCTTCTATTTATTTGTTTTAATTGAAAAATAAAACAGAAGACCTTCAATTAGGAGGAAGACGTTTTTGCCTTTTCTTTTATGTTGTATTTGAGATACAAAAAACACAAGACGACATTATGATCACCTTTGGTACAAGATTACTATCACTTTTTAGCTACAGTAATATATCAAGTTATCTATAAGAAATGAACTATTTAATACTTGTATCTTTTTATTTAATTTTAAAATACCTATAAAAATACACACGGTCCTGAGTTGGAATAGTTGCAAATGGGCAAAATGTTAAATACCTTATCTGATTGGAATTTTTATAAATGTTGTTATTAGAATTGAAATCAGGTGGTTGGGGTGTTGTTTAAAAATTATCTTTTATTGAGCTTTGTAATACACGTGTAGGGCCCGGGTAAGTCTTCTGAGGGCGACTAGTTATTGTGACATTTTTTTATCAAAGGTAAAACGTGAGCAACAACTTAAATTTGGTGCATGAAGGTCACAACCGGGGTGTGTTTCCTGCTTTTAAAGTACAAACGTTTTATTCAACTGTGGCACTCCCTAGCCACTTGGTTTCAATTCTGACGTCTTGCGACTTAAATATTGTAGTAAACAATAACATAAAAAAAAAGCAATTAACTTTTTTCTTTTTCTTTTTTTTTTGTTCGGGTTTTTGCCCTTTTTTTTAACACACGCATGGTAACTAGGATTATGAAATCATTAACGGTGGCACAGTGGGGTCAGCTCAGCCAAAATAGTTGAGTTGTACCACTAAAATTTTGGACCGAGGGTAGGCTTAGGTATCAAAGTTTGGCCCGTTGGTAGGGTTAAGCTGAGAGTGGACGATGTGAATTAACATGATTTATATAGTTTGAAAATTTTCATGTATGATACTGGCTAAATCAAACTCAAATAAATGAATAAAGATAAAATTTTGGATTTACTTGAGACGGGAAACAAAAAAACACAACAAAACAAAACATAAGATAGTGTATCAAAAGATTATCTCTAATTAACTTTGTACACCCTATACAGTATCTCTTTTACTAATAACGCACATGATCTTAGTCTTTCTTGAATTTCACCAAAATAAGAAGCTTGGCTTAAACCCTCTACTTAAACCTTAAGAGCATGTACATGGAAGATGGGGCCGCAGATGGGGCCTCTCTTACTTCTCCAGCTCTGTGGGGCGTGCACCTCTATCCTCTCACTTTAAGAGTACGAGAGAGAGACAAGAGTAGAGAGAGAGGGCGGTGACGTGCCATCTATGAGGTGGAGAGAGAATGCTCTACGCTATACTGTATTTTAATGGATTATATGAGGGGGAGAGAGAATGCTCTAGGCCGTTTACGAGGGGGATAGAGATGCACCAGGTGCGGTTAGGATAATAGGGTTTAGTCATTTTTATAGAGATTCGATCAAGACCGTTAATTATAGGTGACTTGTGGGGTGAGAGACTTAAGTCATACAATCTATGAATCAACTATAATGATTTAATGGAATGTGGTAGAACCTTATACTTTAGCTACCTTCACCTAATTTTATTAAATATTTCATATAAAAAAAATATTCTCTAATTTTTCTTTCAATTTTAATCAATCGTTACACATTCTATTTTGAAATCAATTAACCTCTTCCATAAAACTTTTTATTTTAATTTCAAATCAATTAGATGGAAAATATGGAGCGTCCCACTTATGAGAGACATAGCCATCCAAATGGGGCTAATGTGGTGGGTCTCCACAATGCTAAATAATTTTTAGATAAAATAAAATGATTTTTAGAAATACATGAGATTATATATATATTTTTAAAATATTCAAATACCTGAAAATTCAGTTTTAGCTAAGTTAAAAATCATTTTTTGACAAAAATAAAATATCCAAAGGCTTCTAAAAATCCATTTTAATATTATAAAAATCATTTAAAATGAATTTAATTATTCTAAATTTATTTTGATGGGAATCAAACCCAATTTTATTAGGGAAAATGTGAAAATACTAAGGCACTCCATCTCAACTAGTAACCATGTCCACACTCACTTTTTCAAACTGATGCAGTAGTTCCTATGACCCTCAGTCTATCATAGAAATTCATATTTGGATTACCAAAGCTAATGAAAATATAATCCTAATATATGGACTACAGGTTCTCCCTAAGGACATGCCTAGGTCATACAGATTTGTGCACGCATATCACAAATACCTAAAAATTCAAATACAATTTTAACCTAAAATTTAAATATTGGTTGGATTCTATTACCTGAAAATCAAATATCTAAAACTTTAAATATTCAAATACTTGCAAATTCAGTTTTAGCTAATTTTAAAATCAATTTTTGATAAAATAAAATATCCAAACGCTTCTAAAAATCTATTTTAATATTATAAAAATCATTTAAAATTAATTTAATTATTCTAAAATTATTTTGATGAGAATCAGATTCAATTTTGTTAGGCACCACTAGTTACTATGTCCACACTCACTTTCTCAAACTGACTCAGTAGTTCCCATGACTCATATTCCATCACAGGAATTCATGATTGGACTACCAAAGCCAACCAATAGGTAATGAAAACACTATCCTAGTCTATAGATTACAGGTTCTCCTTAAGGACAAGCCTAGATCACACAAACTTGTGCACACTAATCGCAATTCATGCATGGGTCTAGTACATGTACATATAACACCCTCAAAAGTTTTTACTTTCAAATATGGCTATCATATGTACAAGTCATGTGATGGTCAAAGGCCAACCTTGTAAACCCTTCTTGGTTGTACTATATGCCTAACTCTCATAGGATTTTAGAACTCAACTTGGCCTAGCTCGTTTAACACATTTAACGTCTTGGCATCAATATCGCCAACTTGAGTCCCTCTAGACCATACTCCCACTGGAGTTGTTATATCACTATTA